CAGTTGATGCAAATTTCCATTGAGCTGCTTGAATTAAAGCTCAAACGTGCACTTCAGTCATAACTTTGATCTCAAAGTGATGGTAGTGGCGTTGTCCAAATAGCTGCCTGCATGTTTCTCTGATCTAAAAATGTTCTTAATTTCTTTTGTGGTTGTTTGTGACTTAGCTGCTCTGTTGGAGCCAAACCTAAAGTCTCCATGAACATTTACCTCACTCTGCCCTCTTTGCTCTCTGTCTTTAGCCTGTTGCCGAGGCCCCATTTAAGTTTGACATGGAGCTAGATGACCTACCCAAAGAGACGCTGAAGGAGCTCATCTTTCAAGAAACTGCACGTTTCCAGCCCAGCTTTAGGTCCTAACATCCCACACAGGTAAGTACACATCACTGCAGCCCAACTTATAACCCCAAACTACTGAAAAATAACCTGCAGGGGCTGGTGACACAAAACTATGAGCAATTTGTTAAGAAGTACACAACAACCAACTTTTCCAAGGTCATAAAGATCAGGGAGATCCTCATGACTGTCCCACCTCCGCTGCTTCAAAGCGCAGTGGAGTGAGTCGTGTTCCCGCGTTGAAATCTGCTCAGGATCACTGGGGTTAAATTTAACAGCTCATCTGTTTAAGAGCTGTAGTCAGGACCTCACAGAGTAAGTTTAAATTTTGCTTTTGTTGAGTACGAAGCCGAGGTACTCGACAGGATAAAACCACTTAAAACCATCCATCTAAGCACTTTAAACTTAGTGAGTTGTGCTTTACTGCCATCAATTTGTATCCAAAGCAAGACACAAAAATTGTTCTGTGGTATGAAATTTAGATTTTTCAATATGCAGCATTTACCATGTATTAAGACTTTTTTTTTTCCCTATTGCCAATGTGTGAATTGATTGTAACGCAAGTTAAATTCAGTATAGTTTAGTGTGAAGGGTGTGGGACAGATATTCCAAGAAACTCTAAATGATAAGACTTTAATGTTCCTTAGCTCATGCCTTGCTTCGGTGCCTCTGTTCTGCTCCCACACTGTCAGCAGTGAGCAACACTAGTAATAATAATGGATTGGATTTA